TATCAAACATTTTCTTGCTAGTTTCTCTTGCTACCAAAGTTCAAACAACGAATAAGAGCATCATCTCATAAAACTGTCACATTCGTCCCTTATCTTTGTAAAATTTTCTCTCAAAACTAATCTTATCGCTGAATTCAAATTAACGTTGCATTCGCGTCAGTTTCGCCGTTATCAGAACAGCTTGTCAATTGCTGTTTTATTACACTTCTAACAGTGCTAAGTAGCAGAAATTCAATCATCATGTGACCGCAACTATACACAAAAAATCAGGAATTGTTTCAAAAACTTTCTAATTTCATTGAAACGGTTCTTAAGAGTGTTTCAATAAGAAATTTTCAGAAAGGATTGACTTTGAAGTGTTTCTGTGACAGATAAACACGTACAATGTCAATTTTTCCAAAAAAGTCAAGATAAGCCTTTGAGCCAGAAATGTCATAATTTAGAGGGAAAAAACATAAACTAATGAAACATAGCAATGGACATAGATCACACTACTATGCGTAGCCTTCTCAGCTTTTTGGCGATCATAACAAAGATTTTGAACCCAGTATTTTTTTCAAAATATAAAACTCCCAACTTCATGATCTGCAAAGTCCAAATCTAATCTAGAAAGTTGAAATAAGAAAATCGGATCTCTTTCACTGTGGATTTTTCAAAATCATAGCAAAAATTAAGGGCCCATTTTTTTCCTAACCTAAGCCAGTCCTTTCGCAAAAAGCTGAGTTCCAATCCCTCCAAAATAATTTGAAAGAATTAGAAAAAAACTAGGATTCATGAGGATTTTTTTAAAATCACAGCGAAAATATTGGGCAGCAAATATTTTTTCGAACCTAAAGCAGTTCATTTGCAGAGCTAGGTTCCAATCCATCCAAGAAGCGTCAAAATAATGTGAAAGGAAAGTAAAAAAAAATTCGGACCCCTTTTGAGGTGTATTTTTTTGAAATCATAACAAAGTTTTCGCCCAAATTTTTTCCGAACCTATAACAAAACTTTCGCCAAGATAGCTTGATTTCAGTCCATCTAAAAAGCAACGAAATTATGGGTTGTAATGAAAATTTCGAATCCCATTTACAGCGGATTTTTGTAGAATTGCAGCAAAGATATTTGGGCCATATTTTTTCCAACCCTTCAGTCCTTTTACAAATTCTGTTAATTTCCAATCCATTTAACGATAAAAAGCATCAAACTAATATGCGATCACTAAAGTTGATCTACTCCAAAAAACCTCAACTTCACACAAATTTTCTCCCCCACTTCCTTTACCTCTCCCCTATTATTAAACCTTTGATCAGCACCTTTCAACAATACCAGCACAAAGACCATACTTAGGCACCATAAGAATGCTACCGTATCTCAGTAATTTCTGCAAAAATCTGTCAATCATCGCTACAAAATCTAGTTCAGAGGCCATTTCACATAACAGCAAAACATCACACCATATCTGTTGAACTGTTGATTTTACATAAAACTATTTCAACGCTATCGTTACTGTGCATTACAGTAACTCAAAAACTCACTTTGCTCTCTCCTTCTCTTCATCCTCATCCGTTTTCATCCTTTTTCCCGCTGGTGGCGTAACATCATCACGGGAATCGGACGAGTTCATGATGACTGAAGCTTGTGAAGCGGTTGAGGTCGATGGTACGAGGGAAAAGGGGAATGCTCCTGGAAGGGATTAAATTCTTAAGGGACCATCAAATTTGAGGGGTTAAAGAAACTCACCTCCAAGCTGCATATTGACAGAATGTTGTGGGCTACTAGGTACGTTGTTTAGCGGGGATCCTTCGACGATTGAATGTTTTTTCTGAGGACGCAACTAAAAGAGGGGAAATTGAGTGGAAAATTGGAAAAGTTTCTAAAAAATAGTCCAAAAAAATCGAAAATAGTTTTGGGTGAGGTCATAAAGTCATTCACTTCGTCTACAGGAAGAAAAATGAGACGATTTGGCACTTTTTCTGAGGATAAAAGTTTTTATTTGTATTATTTCCCTTCAATGAAAAACCCAGAAATAGGTATTGATATTGTGTGTTTTTCACTTGCTATAATTTCAGTTGATTGACATTCTGAATTCTGAAAATTAGCGACTTTAATTCTTTTATTCATTCCTTTTCTCGTCTTTCACATGGATAAAACTTTAAAAAAATCGCAAAGAGAAACTGATGTCTCTATCTCGCAAACTTTCACCAACTTCCCCATTCTCCATTTATTTTCAACAAGTACAACACCACCTTTTTAATTTCCTGTAACTGCGCAAATTTCTTTCGAAACCCGAAAAACAGAAAAAACGTCCGTCTCCTAATGCATGTTTCACATTTTTGTTCCACTTTCTCCTTCACGGTCAATATTGACCAAACTTGTTGAGGCGACAGTTTTAGCCGACGTTTCAATGTTTACACGAAATTTTGCAGAAGACTTTTTTCTTATATAGAAGCAACGATCCATTTAGTACTTTCAATTCAGTTTTGATGCTCCCTCTTGCACCACTGCTTTCCCGATATATCATGACTAATAATGTGAGCTCATCAGTTACACGGGGCTTCAACAGCAATAACACCGGATTAGCTCGAGCTGCAAAATCCTCTTGAGCTGTTCTAAGGATCAGCTCCACTCTGGGTTTTATATGCTGATTGGCACAGATCTGCAGATTTGCGACAAATTGTCTATATAGGTCAAAACTCGTCAATTGAGCAGATTTTCTCCGAATTGTAACAGCTCAAAAATTCTTCGGCCTTTAAAAGCTGCTTATTCTCATTCTCATAACTAAATGAATATAACATTTAAAGGTCCGATCAAAGTCTGCAGCTAAGCTAGCACATCATCAAGCCAATCAACAGAAGTCTAAGCTTTCAAGGTCTTAGGATACTGTAGAAAGATTACGGTCATCAATCCACGTTAAGTCGCTGTGGAAAATTTCGGAAAAAAGCTAGTTTCAAGGAAAACTACAGCAAATGACTTTCTATTTGAGAAGGAAAGAAAAAAAAATATGAGACTGGAAAAAATGTTCATCACGACTAATAGCACAACAAAATACTGTGATGCAACAAACCAACTCATTTTTCGTTTTTGAGCACGATATGGTAGTAGTACGGTATCTGTACGGTAGCACGGTAGTCACACCCGAACAGGAAGTCCAACAACCTTATCATCGTTTAAACACTAAATTCCGTGATCACACATTTTTCTGTCACAAATCGCTACCGTATAGCTACCGTAATCCTAAAATTAGCCTTCTACGTTGCATGTAAGAGAC